GGCTTCTTCCTGGTCTCAAGTGGCCAATTAGGAAAAATGGCTTTGAATGCCAAGTTTCCCACGAAGGGTGCAAAGCATAATTTACACCTGGGAAAATGCAGACAATGGGCACCTCTGGTATGTGATGGGCGAAGCTTCCTCTCCTGGGACAGTGCAGGCGTGTCAATTACTGGTACTAGCCATCAGGGCGACGGGAGGTCCCGGGTCGTCAGCTAGCCCATTTACTGTCTGGTTTCTGTTTATGGTAGAGTCAGGGACAGGCAGCACACCTGTGTTCCCAGGGCATCAAAGGCTGACTGCCTTTCTCTTTCTCTCGGGGGGGGGGGGACAAGATGGGGTTTGTGGAAAAACAAGATGGGGTTTGTGTCTGGCTACACTCAAACCCTACCTTTTCCTGCACCTGCTGTTTTGTGGTGGGTGAAAGGCACTGGGGGATCAATGAGGCCACCACTATTCAGATGGCGCCATTGTGGAGTGAAGCAAAGGTGGGAGTTTGGCTGCCAGTGGGAGCCTGCTAATTTTTCTTTTGGGTGCTCCAGCTGTAGAGCACCCACAGAGTCTGTGCCTAAGCTGATGAGTATCTAAATCCCATTATTTGTCACAAGAGTTAAGGAAGGGAAGGAGAAGAGAAGAAAGGAAAAGTAATGAAAAGATGAGAGGATGGAGAGGAGGTGGATTTGAAAGATATGGTAATGACATGCACTGACAGAAGGTGAGTATCAGTCAGCCAAGGCTGAAAACTAGTGACAATGAATATTATGCCAAGTTCAAATATCTGTTCCTCTCTGCCAGTCACCTTGACAAAATGGGGTTTAATACTGCTGCAATTATGCAAGAAGGGTGTGCATTGCCTGAACATAGTCATTTACCATTAATGACCTTCCTTAAAAGACTGTTTCTCGTGTAGCTCAAGCTGCTGACTAATTACGTAGCCTCTTTTATGATTGTGTGTAAAGCTCTTCTTGTAATGCTTAGCTTCTGAAACCAGCCTAATAGAGGTGAAGACCCTTGTCTGAGCTGTGGAATCCATTCTCTTTTTGTCTTTTCTATGAGGGTGTCAGTATGGCAGCTTCTATGGCACTGCCTAAATTAATAATGATATATCAGTCACATCTTTCCTTCTAGCCTGTTGCAGCTAATTTCTCCAAGGTGAGGTGTGAATGTCCACTCCACCAGAGTACTGGATGGAACAGGTTTCAGAGCCTGTCATAAACTCGCAGGCTGAGGATGCTGCATAAAACCAATTCCTTGCAAAAAACCATTGTATTTTATTGTTATTTCGGTTTTTATATTGTACCCTGAGCTATGTCTGTGTGTGGTGAACAATTTGTTCTCTAGGATTTATCTTCCAGCGTAACTTACACTATAAGCATACGGCTTTGGAGGTTTTAATTCTTAGACTATACAGCAGCCTGTCAAACATTTGCTAACCATTAGAGTTTCTGTTGCAGTCAGTAAAGATTGAGTGCATGACTGTCATATAAATGACCTGTGCTGTGAGCAAGTCTTTTGAATTCAGATGGGATCCTGTAGGTAGTCATGTTAACAAGATTTTGAGTGGAAACTAAACCTACAAATTTTGTCCCTCTCTCTGCCAGATTTACTTCTTAATTTTAGTGAGCATGTGTCCATGCCAATTACTGTGGCAACTTGTACTATTGGCACTGGAACAATGTTGCTATTGCAAGCAAAGTTTCTTGATGTGAGGCTCCCATTATACCGCTGATTAAATTGAATGTCCTCTGCTAGCATTACAGAATAGTCACAATAATACTACTGAGGGATTCTTCTCTTTGGAGGCCTTCAGCTTCTCTTATTGCCTGCTTCTCTGTAGGATCCTGAGCAAAATCTGTTCCATCTGAACAAAGAAATGTGTTGTCCGTGCATTGGAACGTAATTGCTAATCATCACTTTAGTTCAGGTGGGACTTGGTGGCATTGGGAATGAGACCTGCGGCAGCTGCAGTTCTGGCAGTATTGGCTGAGCCTGCCCTTTACAGGCTATCGAGATTTGTTTGTGGGTTTAACAAAACATATTGTATTTCTTGCTCTGCTACCTCAGACTCAGAGACTGTACAACCAGCCACTAAACTGGTTCACTTACAATGTATAAACCTTAACTGATAAATAAAATATGACGAAAACAAAAACAATATTGTAAATACGTGTACCGTATATTCCGGCGTACAAGACGACCTCTGAAGTTAAAAAACATCCCCCCAAAATCGGGGGTCGTCTTGTACGCCGGATGCCCCCCCGCCGGAGCCCCTCCGCGGCTTTGAAAGCCTCAGGGGAAGCCGGCGGGGGGGCATCCCAGGCGCGCATGGGCTGCCCGCCCGCCGGAGCCCCTCCACGG